ATACACGCTACACATAAGTGGGCCGGCAATTTAGTGCCTTGTTAGTTGTAAACAGTCAGCCCAGTTTACTCGTATCACGTATACGACCATGATTCGATAATAAATTTTGATTATCGAACCATGGTTAATCACTGCCATTATTCGTTCCCACGACAGTCGGTCTACGCAACCAGAACGACCCAGATTTGTATCTGGCCAAGGACTGTCACTACAGCAACACTCCCCAAAAACTCTTTGAGGAATTTGTACGCTGTTACAACTGCATATTATTATGCCACAATCCAAGGGGTTACATCCCTGTTTAGACTGGGTTCACACAGAGAAACTTTTGTTGCTCATTTTCGGCAGCTTCTCTTCTGGTGTTGCCCTTCGCGTTCACACAGAGCAATTCTTTTGTACACAATTGATGTTGTTAGCTGTGAACGGCCAACTAGAATTAGCTAGACGAACGAGAGCACAAAGCGTGTTGCCGAGCACGAGCAACTCTGTGCCCTACCCCTTACTCGTCACTCCCTCTCCCACAAGTAACGAGTTGCCGCGACAAAAGTTTTTGTCTGAACCTAGGCATAGGAATCCGATTGAAATGGGCCTTAATCAATTAAAACTTTTTTTTTTACTTTTATTCAAACTTTGTTTTATCACAAATTACAATACAAGTATTAGTTAGTTATTGCCCTATAAATATAACATATTTAACTGAAATCGAACCAAAATGTTGTAAAATATAGGTAAGTTTACTTTTCTTCATACACTTGTATTTGAGTGCCATGAAATGTGCAAGTTTTATATTAGAATAGTAATAACATACTTTTTCACTTTGGAAGATCGTTAATTGAATGCATATAGGAGTAACAGGATAACACACAAAGCAATAACTGCGCCCAAAATTAGAGAGTCTCGTTTTTTCTTTATATTGATTCTTTGTATTAGACTGCAGTTGGAAAACATTAAATATGGACTGTGTATGTAATCAATGCTATAAAACCTTACCTGGAAATCAAAGGAAATCTGTTGGAAATGTCATTAAAACGTGTCTGCATTCGTTTGAATGCCTGTCTTTGCGAAAGCAAGTGTTCTCGTGTCTCAATTGCGATATTTATTTGATCATTGACCATATTACTTGAGCTGAAACGATAAAAGTTAGTATTCAATTTCAAAACATTTATATTTTTGTTTTCCAAATATTTCAGGCTATTCACTTGCCTGCCCAAATGTGTACTTTCTTTTAAATACAGATCACGTCTACTTAGGCCAGAAATGGTTGGGCTATTTGTGGCCAATCCGGAGCCACGCAAAAGTTCTTCGCGTTCGATGCGTGTCGTGTGATTTGCACAAATTTTATTAAACTCTTGCCTATACCCATGTAAGATTTCACGATGACGCTGAACTGTGTGCATGGCAGCAGCACCTGTTGCAGGAAGCTCAGACATTGTTTCATTAAGCGTTGAAAGCTGCGAAATAAAAATAGCTTAACGTATTTAAGTAGCAAGGCAAATGTATTCCCATGTACGTTTTCTTACCTTGTCCAACATTTGTGAAATCTCCTCTGATAAGGAATCGAAGACGTGTTCTCCTAGCAATGGTGATGTGTCTGTAGATGAGCTGCTGTGTAGTGAGGTACTGGTGCCCGCACCAATTTTACTGAATGCAACCAATTTCAAGTCGATCTCATTTTCTAAATGCCGTGCTTGTTTTCTAAGCGCTGAAATACAGATATTTTGCATGCATACTAAATTGGCCTAACGTATATAAAAATACCATCATAGTTAGAAACTCCCATCTTTTTCAGTATATTTTATAAAAACTTTCAATTGTTTGCACTACCAAACACGTAAAATTGAAACAAATATATAAAAAGAAGAATAAATATTGACAGTTCTCTATGTAGCTCTTCTTCTTGTGATTGCAGAGCTGTCAAATTATCGACGATACTATCGATAGTATCGATAGTCTGGTCACTTGAAATAACTATCGATAGTTTTAGTACTATCGCCACTATCGTTTCATTGATAGCTTATTCTCTTTCCTACCGCTTTTGATATTTGCACGTATT